GTAGACTCACAGTGTCATTAACAATTGTATGGATGGTGGGAAGGGGTGGGGAGAATGAAATTACTGAGGAATCCATGAGGTCTGTCCTGATTGCGTTTGTAGTTTGATATGTTCTGTGTGGTGTTCAGCTACAGTTTGTCTGTTACCCATATTTACCTCATGTTAAATTTGGGATGTTACAATATAACTCAAATCCATCATTGTGTAGCCTGAGCCTTTTTTTGTCAATATTCTCTGCATGTTTGTTCAAGTAATCTTTATTTATAATAAATTTATTATGCTTTGCTGATGAATGAAAACTAGTTGGCTTGTTTCTAACACTAAACCTGGTACAGCCCAAAATCCATGCATCTGGTCATCTCACCATCCTGGTTAAATGTAAATTATAGAGTTATAGAGTCATACAGCACAGAAACAGACCCTTCAGTCCAACTAGCCCATGCTGACCATGCTCCCAACTAAACTAGTCCCACCTGCCTGCACTTGGCCCATATTCTTCAAAACATTTCTTTTCATGAACTTATCCAAATGTCTTTTCAACACTGTAACTGTACCTGCATCCATCACTTCCTCTTGAAGTTCATTCCACACACAAACCACGCTCTGTGTAAAACAGCTGTGTAAAAAGATCCCTTTTAAATCTTTCTCGTTTCACCTTAAAACTATGCCCCTTAGGCTTGAAATCCCCCATCCTAGGGAAAAGACACCTGCCATTCATTTTTATCTATATTCCTCATGATTTTATAGGCCATTTTAAGGTCGCCCCTGAACCTCCTACGCTCCAGTGAATAAAAGTTCCAGCCTATCCAGCCTCTCCTGATAACTCAAACCTCCCATTCCCAGCAACATTCTCGTAAATCTTTACAGAACCCTCTCCAGCTTAATAATATCCTTCCTATAATAGGGCGACCAGAACTGCACACAGTGCTTCAGAAGAGGCATCACCAATGTTCTGTACAACTTCAACATAACGTCCCAACTCCTTTACTCAATGGTCTGAGCAATGAAGGCAAGTGTGCTAAATGCCTTCTTAAACACCCTGTCTACATCTGATACAAACTTCAAAGAATTGTGTACCTGAACCACTAGATCTCTCTCACACACACAAAAATAGAAATTGCTGGAAAACCTCAACAAGTCTGGTAGCATTTGTGGAGAGAAATCAGAGTTAATATTTCTGGTGGAGTAACCCTTCCTCTATTCTATAACACTACCCAAGGCCCAACTTTAATTGTATAAGTCCTGCCCTCGTTTGTTTTACCAAAATGCAATACCTCACATTTATCCAAATTAAACTCCATCTGCCACTCCTCAGCCCATTGATCCAGTTGATTGAGATCTGTTTGTAATGTTAGATAACTTCCTTCACTCTCCACTAAACCACCAGTTTTGGTGTCATCTACAAATTTACTAACCATGCCTACTATGTTCTCATCTAAATCATTAATATAAATGACAAACGAAAGTGGGCCCAGGACTGATCCCTGAGATCAGTGGAGGAATGGGACTAGAAAGGAGTTAGAGACCGCCCCACCCAATTGTAACAGCTCTGATTATAGACCATATGTTCAAAACATGTTTGAGCCAAGTGATCGCACATTGGGGTGACATTTAATGTTTTAAAGGACTGAGTAACATAACAGAACGTTCTTCCAATGCCTTAGCTCAGTATAATAGAGCGAGAAATTGGATTGTTCATATCCATCCAACTTGAGGCAGAAAGAGCTGACTTCCCCTTTGCATTGGCAGCACTAGCTGTGAAGACAAGGCTCCTTGCAACAGCTCGAAGCAGACTGGGAAGTGCATGCTGCCTAATTCGTAATTACACTTGCAACATTGCAAAGTCAAATATTTGTAACATAAAAAGCCTTAATTGGGATTAATATATGGCACCCTGAGAATGTGCAGAACAGATGTCAAGGAGCCCTGGGGAAAGACAGCTTTCAAACTGAAATCACTCCTCTCGCATTTAAGATTCACGACCAGTTGGGATGGATTTCGCTCATTTGTATAATTGTTCCCATTAATGTTTATTCAAAATAATGAGCTTGCAGAGGGTTGAAGGGATTCAAATGGCAGTGTGGAGGGAAGTGTTCTGGTTTACTTTGTTATTGTCTGTTTGCTGGTAGTCAGGTCGATTGCTGTCGGTGCTAATGGCATTCAGAACACAGGCCCAGGGCCTTTGCACCAGTTCCTAAGTTTTAAATCTTTTATTCTAATGTTTAGATCCCTCCATGACCTCATCCCTCACGGTCACGGTACCACCCTCCAGCTCTACAACCCTCTGAGATCAAAAGTCCATCTCCACTTGTATTGTTCCATCATTAGTGGCTGTTCTCTGATCTTTGGAATTCCTGGTAAACCTCTCCAATGCACTCTCCTTCTTCAAGGCCCACCTTAAGTCCACCCCCAACTATATTAGTCACTTGTCCTTAACAGCCACAGCTCTCAGTTGTGTATGCTAGTGTAAACTCTTACTGGTTTTTACAGATGTACCATAGAAAGCATTCTATTTGAATGCTTCACAGCATGGTTTATCAACTGCTCTTCCCAACACTGCAAGAAATTACAGAAAGTTGTGAATACAGCCCAGTCCATCACACAAACCAGCCTCCCATCCATTGACTCCATCTATACTTTGTGCAGCTTAAGGAAAGCAACAAACATAATCAAAGTTCCCTCCCACCCCAGTTATACTCTCTTCCGCCCTCTTTCATCTGGTAGTAGATATAAAAGTTTGTATAGAATAGATTCTAGAACAGGTTCTTCCCCGCTGTTATCAGATTTTTGAACAGACCGCTCAAGTGCTAATTCTGATCTCTCTCGGCACCATCTCTGTGGCTGTAACACTGTAATCTGCACTCTGTTCTGCTATCCTGATGCACTTGATCTGCCTGTATAGCACACAAAAGAACACTTTTCACTGTATCTCGGTACATGTGACAATAATAAATCAATCAAGGGGTTAATGTAAATAGGTAAGTAGCAGGTGGTTCTCTCTACAGTTTTGCAGTAGAGGTGAAATCTTGACCTGTATATGGTGAGTATTTACCATGTCTAACTGGAAGTTAATGTTTGTTGAATTTAATCATCTCCTGCAGTCTTTAACACTCCCTTCACCCAGACTCAAGTAAAATAGATAAGCTGAGATACCTCCCTCTCTCATCTCAAGTTGGAGCTGGTTGGTTCAATTCGCATTCCCAGGACTGAAGCAATAAACACAGGGTGACAGTGCAGTCAGTATGGAGTGACTGGGAATTTCGATGGAAAGCCTTCCTGATGTGTCTGATACCCTCTCAGGTGAACGCAGAACCTTCTGGAGATGAGCTATGATTGGACGTTGCTGATTAGGTGGTGATGAAAACCCTACTGTTTGTGGGAGCTTGCTGTGCACAAAGTGGCTGTGGTGTTTCTTACATAACATCAGTGACGACACTTCATTGGATGTCAGGCCCCTTGAGATGTTTTGAGTGCATGCAGGGGGGGGGGGGGAGGGGGGGGTGCGGGTGGGGGGTGCATGGTGGCTCAGTGGTTAGCACTGCTGCCTCATGGCGCCAGGGACCCGGGTTTGATTCCAAGCCTCGGGCGACTGTCTGTGTGGAGTTCACACATTCTCCTCGCGTCTGCGTGGGTTTCCTTCGGGTGCTCCGGTTTCCTCCTACAGTCCAAAGACCTGCAGGTTAGATCAATTGACCGTGCTAAATTGCCCGTAGTGTCCAGGGACGTGCTGGCTAATTTAGCCATTGGAAATGCAGGCTTATGGTGGGTGGGTGGATGTCCTTTGGAAGGTCAGTGTGACTGAATGGCCTGCTTCCACACTGCAGGGATTTTAAGGTAAAAAGAGGGTAAGTTTAAAGGAGATGTGAAAGGCAGGTTTTATATACAAAGTTGGGTAAGTGCCTGGAATGCGCTGCCAATGGAGGTGGTGGAGGCAGATACAACAGCAACAGTTCAGAGGCATCTTGGCCAATATACGAATAGGCATAGAATAGAGGGATATGGACCGCATAGAGGCAAAAGGTTTTTAGTTTAGAAAGGCACCTGTGTTGGTGTAGTCCTGTTTGGCTGAAGGGTCTGTGCTGTTCTGTTCTTTGTTTTCTTCGTTCTGTGAACTCCTTGAGAGGGCTGTCTGCCCATGAGGAGAATTGTGAAAATTGAGAGATGTGTGGGCTTCCAGCTCATTACAATGCTGACTACAAAGGCTTAATATCCATTCTAAACCAACATGAAAACGCACTCTAAAGGGGAAAGAATACATTGACCAACTTACAGTTTTCTCTCCTTCTCCATGGCCTTCAGTTTTCATTCTCTTGTAAACAGATTGTTGCAAAAATATTTGGATAACCACAACTGAATTTCTGCAAACCCTCCTCTTAATTTTCCACTAGATCACCAACTCCAAGCAGCAGAGGGAAGTTACTGGTGAAGTTTGGGGCTGAGGGATATTGCTGTGACAGAGAAAAGGGTTTTAGTTATGCCAGACCAATGATTGTACTTAGGTGCGTGAGATGGGAAGTGTCTCTCTTTCCAGCACTAATGTTCCTTGAACTGTATAGAATTTCTCAGAAGTGAGGCCCTTACCAGAGTACTGTGTGCAGTTCTGGTCCCCCTGCTGTAGGAAGGATATAACTAAGCTGGAGAGGGTTCAGAAAAGATTTACCAGGATCTTTCTGGGAATGGAAAGTTTGAGTTATAAGAAGAGGCTGGATAGGATGGGACTTTTTTCATTGGAGTGTAGGAAGTTGTGGAGTACCTTATAGAGATTTATAAAATCGTGAGGGGTATAGATAAGGTGCATGTCAGGTGTCTTTTCCCTAGGATGGGGGATTTCAAGACTAGGGGACATAGGTGAGAGGAGAAAGATTTTAAAAAGACATGAGGGGCAATGTTTTTAGACACAGAGAGGTTTGTGTGTGGAATCAAGTGCCAGAGGAAGTGGTGGATGCAGGTATAGTTACAACGTTTAAAAGACATTTGGATAAGTACATGAATGAGAAATGTTTGAAGGGATATGGGGCCAAGTGCAGACAGGTGGGGCTGTGGGATTATGGTTGACATGGACTGGTTTGACCGAAGAGTCTGTTTTCATGTTTTATGGCTCTTGTGACTATGACACTAGCAATGGGGAGTTTGCTTTAAATTTTGTGATTGGAACCAAATAGGAGGTAGCAAATTAGACATGTGCTGCAGAATGCCTGATTTTCCCAACAATTTCTTGGTCTTAATAAGAGGTAAATATACGGACAAATCTTGAGTACACAAATTAGGGGGGTCTTCTCATCCTGAGATGCCAAAAAGATTGAAGTGAGCCATGGATAGACTGAACAAATCAACATGGGACGTACACTAGTGTCACATCCTTAGTCAAAGATTTTAATAAGGATTCTGCAAAGGAGGAAAAAAAAACAATTGATTTACTACATTGTCGAAGATACAGAATGGACCAGTGGAAATTGATGGAATCGAGTGCCCTCCGATAATTACAAAACATGAGGTAATCACACAAAAACTACAAAGACTATTGGCTTCCAAAACAGTATATTGACAATCCTTCTTCCCAACGACAATCCTATAACCAAACCGACTTTGAAGGGAGACAACAAGGTGTAGAGCTGGATGAACAAGCAGCATCATAGGAGCAGGAAGGCTGACGTTTCGGGCCTAGACCCTTCTAGTCACAAACCCATCACTTCAAGGCACATCTTCAGATTATCTTCATTTACATGTTTTCCCTAAGGGGATGACCCCGCTTGGCAGACTGTGTCTGACTTTACCCGGAGCTACCCATGATAATAAAACAAAGAGCTGTGAATGCTGGAGGTCTGAAACAAACTAAAACAGAAATTGCTAGAGAAACTCAACAGGTGTGGCAGTACCTATGAAGCAGAGTTAATGTTTTGAGTTCAGTGACCCGTCTTTAGAAGAGACATTAACTCTGCTTCCTCTCCACCAATGGTGTCAGGCCTGCTGACTTTCTCAAACAATTTCTGTTTTAGTTTGTTATCCATGTAAATATTGGTGGTATAGGGATGTTAGTCTGTGATGCTGACAGATGTAAAACAGAAGCAGAAACTAACAGCTGATGATTATATCAGATACAATATTCTGTGGAATTAAAGTGACAAAAAGCTTTAAATTGAACTTAATGAACAAGACACAAGGGAAAAATATTATACTCTGTTGTTCAGTTGGACTTTATGTCCAAAATGTGAAATAGAAGATTTCTGAAGAAGGGTGCCAACCCAAAATGTCAACTTTCCTGCTCCTCTGATGCTACCTGGCCTGCTCTGTTCCTCCAGCTCCACACTGTGTTATCTCTGACTCCAGCCTCGGTAGTTCTTACTATCTCTAAGTAGAAAATTGCTCTTAGTTTCTATATTGGGCTCAATGCCAGCACAGGGAGGGATACAATACTATGACTTGCATTTATATATCATCTTCCATGGTACTCGATGCCTTCATAGAGTCTTATTGCCAGCAAAGTACTTTTGAATCCTAGTCACTGTTGTAATGCAAGAAACTCAGTAGCAAACTCCCATCAGCAACAATATGATAATGATGAAATAGGGGAGATTAGGGATGAGCAACAAATACAGGCCTTTCTCACAACACCCATATTTCATGAAAGTTGAAAAATAGAATAAAAAACTGTGGACTGTTTATTGGCTAAGAGCCAGTTGTGTTAAGTTTCATGCAGGGTTTGTAATCGTGCGTCCTCACAAATTTTCTCATGATATCTCATCAAACTCGCCTCATCAACCATGTGCCCTCTCATCTGTTTCTCTACTGACTCCCAGAAGAACTCTCCCAAGGGGAAGCGATGGCCTAGTGGAATTATTACTAGGTTATTAATCCAGAAGCTCAGTTAATGTTCTGGGGACTCAAGTTTGAATCCTGCCCTGGCAGATGGTGGAATTTGAATTCAATAAAAAAAATCTGGCATTACAAATCTATGGGTGACCATTGTCAATTGTCAGGAAAAACCCATGTGGTTCACTAGTGTCCTCAGGGAAGGAAATCTGCCATTTGTACCCTGGTCTGGCCGACATGTGACTCCAGGCCCACAGCGATGTGGTTGACTCTCAGATGTCCTCTGATATAGCCTGACAAGCCAATCAGTTCAAGGGCAGCCAGGGACGGGAAATAAATGCTGGCCAACCAGAGATGGGAGTGAATTTGAAAAACAAAACTTGTCGCTGGTCAGGACATCCTGGAATTGACTAGTGAACATTGGCACTGGTGCCATCTTTAAAAAGCCACTGAGACCCTGGGTAAGTGCTGTCGGTTGGCACCTCCCTGCATGGTTCCTGACATTTGGCCCGTGACGTGGCAGAGAAGGGAAAATTATCGCATGGTTTTTAAGGCAGGGATCTGGTTGTCCTGCTGGGTGGTATGGTGCTAAGGCAGGATGTCTCAGAACCAGGAGAGGAGGCTACGCCATCAGATCATTCGAACCTTGTCTGAGGTCACCTCCGAGGTCAGTGCAGTCTTAGCCACCTGGAGGAATGCCCAACACTGCAGGACAGAGGTCAATGATCTTCTACACCCTGCCAGCGTGTGTGCCTCCATCTTCTCTCCAATACCTCTCTCTCTCTGCTGCTGTACCCACCTCCCTCCAAGGTTCATGATCTACCACTCTCTCTATTGCCTGCAACCTCTTCCCTCACTCACTGTCAGCCACTCCAATTCCCAACGCCCCTAACCTGGCATGCCCTCTGTGCCTCCTACTCACTCACTTGAGGTGCCTCACCACTTGCACTGGCAATAGCAGCTGTGCTACCCACTTCAATCCTGTCTCTCTCTCTCATTCCAGGAGGAAAGCAGCCCACAGTAGGGCAGGAAGAATGGAGATGGAAGCTGGGCTGCCTAACAATTAGCTCCTTACTCCATTTGTGGAGAGAATCCTGACTCAGATTGCCCTGAGCAGGGTTTGAACTGGTAGCTGCCCTTGATTGACTGTGCTGGAACCCCCTGACCAAAACCTACCTCCCTTTGACTTGAATGAAAATAGCTGGCAACCGTGACAAGATTCCTGGCTTTGTGTCTGTGCCCAACGGTACAGCAATGCAGCAGGACTGTGAGCCTGGGCAGGGGTGCTGTGAGTACCCAGTTAGATCCGGAGTGAGCGAGCACTGGGGAGAGCCAGCGAAGATCGCAGAGATACAACGTGGCGCATGTCCCTGCATGCAGTCACCTTGCAGTGCCATTGCAATGAGAGTTACAGCTTTCAAACGTAGAAGCATCCTGAAAATGGATTGGAGATGAGCCATGAGAGTTCTTGGAGGCTGGCACATGTCAGATACCAATGTCTGTGGGCTGTGTACGGTCAGTGCCAATGGAGTGTGCCCTGAGGTGTTGATGCTCAACATGGAGGTCCTTTGAAACAAGTCGCGGGTTGAAGTCACCAGGTACCTGCTCTGGTTTTCACATCATTATGTCAATGACGTCTTGCTTGCTCGACAAGTTTGGAAAGAATCGTGCCATTAATTAGATATTTAACAAGCTACAATCCCCCAGGATTGGCAAACCAATGCTGCCCAGTGACAAACTGCCCTCACTGCTCAGCAGAAGCATGGAAGATGAAGCGAGTTGCTCCCAATATTGAGATAGGCCTTGTCAGATTGCTTACCTGATTCTGCCACAAATCTCACCACAGCCCACGTCTCTCAGACCCTTGTAAGATTCCCCTAGAGGTTTTCCATGTGATGTTCATTGGGAGATAAATGTTGGAATGGATCAGGAAAACTGCTCTTCCCTGAAATAGTGCCGAGGAATTTCTTATGTTCACCTGAGAGACCAAGCATCTCCAGCAGTGCGGCACTCCCCTGATAATGCACTGGAGTGACAGCCTCAAGTATTGTTCAAGTTCTTGTTTGGGTCTTTAACCCAGAACCTTGTAACTTTGTGCTGAGAGTGCTACCAGCTGAGCCACAATTAACTGTTAAATCGTATCTATAATCTATAAACTGGGGAATGTAGCTGCCGTTAATTGTTGTAACAAGTTTTATACCCAATATGCAATAGCAGCGTTCAAGAAACATCTGGAAGAATACATGGATAGGAAAGGAAAAGAGAGATACAGATCCTGTAAGTGAAGACAGTTTTAGTATGGAAGGACAAAATGTCAGCACAGGCTTGGAGGGCTGAAGGGCCTGTTCTTGTGCTGTATTGTTCTTCGTTCTTTATTAGTGAGTCATGATAAGTAATACGTAGGGCGATAAAGTTGCTTCATGTGTTCTATTGGAGAGGAAATCAGATGGGGAGTGTTGTGGTTGTCCAATTCAACATATTTTTTCATTCTATCGTTCTAGTTTATCGAGATGGTTTGTGCATAAGTTGTATGGACAGGAGATTTCCCTGTTAAAGAAGACATGAAAAAAAAAACTTGGTGGAATCTCTCAATTTAGTGTCGCGGTATGTGATGGAATGATGCCGGGAGTCTCAAAGTGCTGGAGATGGGCAGAATGGCCTCATCAGTGTAACTGCCTTGTTGATCTGCCAAAGCCCCTCAGAAGTTCAAATCTCAAATCTGTGAAACTGTCCACTCCTTATCCCTCAAGGGAATCTGACTGATTCCGTGTCAGTCAAAAACACTTGAGGGTCGCTGCTTAGCAGCTTGGAGAATTCCCATGCAGTGACCAGGAGAAAATACTACAGACTGCCTACAGCCATATTTAAGACTGTAGTGTCAATTTCGCATGATAGACGCCACGTATTCTAAAGGGACAATTTACACAGTGTAATCATAGCCTTGTCTTTGAGGAGCATTATGGAGTAATCTGTGTTAAACACTTACTATCTCTATTTTAACGAGCTCTGCACCATGCCCTGCTTATGTCTAGATGGTAAATATGAAGTCACAGGACATTAAGTATATGCTGACTACACTGCCAACCCCTCCATATCAGTGAGGGAGCTGTCAACATCATTCAGTCACAATGGGAGACGCAGCAATGCTTTTCACAGTTCCCACTTGCATAATTTTGCTTATAATTTCCAAGAGGGAGGCTGATAGTTTTTACAAACTCATATAGAAGGCTTATTTCTCCATCTTCCCATTCAGTTCCCTTCCCGTCCATGCTGGGCCATCAGTTTTTTTGTTACCTGAACGCTGGCTCTCGTTGCCAATTCTTGGGCCGTGACTGACTTTGGGAGGTAGGCCTCTGGTGGAGGTGTAGCCATTGGCAGCAACAGGTTGCTACAATGACTGATGGAGTCAGTCCTATCCCTCAACTGGGCCTGGATATTAGGCATAAGAGGTACAGGCTGACAGAGTAAGAGCCTCACTATACTCATAGAACATAGAACATAGAACATTACAGCGCAGTACAGGCCGTTCAGCCCTCGATGTTGCGCCGACCTGTGAAACCAATCTGAAGCCCATCTAACCTAAACTATTCCATTATCATTCATATGTTTATCCAATGACCATTTAAATGCCCTTAAAGTTGGCGAGTCTACTACATTTGCAGGCAGGGCATTCCACGCCCTTACTACTCTCTGAGTAAAGAACCTACCTCTGACATCTGTCCTATATCTATCACCCCTCAATTTAAAGCTATGTCCCCTCGTGCTAGCCACCACCATCTGAGGAAAAAGACTCCCACTGTCCACCCTATCTAATCCTCTGATCATCTTGTATGTCTCTATTAAGTCACCTCTTAACCTTCTTCTCTCTAATGAAAACAGCCTCAAGTCCCTCAGCCTTTCCTCATAAGACCTTCCCTCCATACCAGGCAACATCCTGGTAAATCTCCTCTGCACCCTTTCCAATGCTTCCACATCCTTCCTATAATGCAGTGACCAGAACTGTACGCAATATTCCAAGTGCGGCCGCAGCAGAGTTTTGTACAGCTGCAACATGACCTCATGGCTCCGAAACTCAATCCCTCTACCAATAAAACCTAACACATCGTACGCCTTCTTAACAACGCTATCAACCTGGGTGGCAACTTTCAGGGATCTATGCACATGGACACCGAGATCTCTCTGCTCATCCACACTACCAAGAATCTTACCATTAGCCCAGTACTCTGTATTCCTGTTACTCCTTCCAAAGTGAATCACTTCACTCAGGTAGCACAGGGGTGCCTGCAGAAAAAAGAAACAGAAAGACTTACATTTCAATTGCGTTTTTCATGATTACTGTATGTCTCAAAGCACATTACAGCCCATGAAGTACTTTCTTTGAGTGTAGTCACTGTTATACTGTAAGAGACATGACAGCCAATTTACACACAGCAAACTCCCACAAACAATAATGTGGCAGTTATCAGAAAATGTTTTTGTTTTGGTAATATTGCTTGATGGATAAATATTGTCACGACAACAGGGAGAAGAAATTACAGGCCTTTCTACAAAGTTGTTCAGTGAGATTTCTTGCATACATTTAGACAGACAGTTTAATGTCCTGTTGGAAAGATGTTGCCTCTGGCAATGCGGCACTCACTCAGTATAGCACTAGAGTGTCAGCCTTGAAACACTGGTGTGGGGTCACCTACTTTCAACAAATGTAGTCTGTCATCAATGCAATGGGTCTTGGAGGAAGTGCAGGCAGTCTCTGGGGAGTGAACCAGTTCTGTTCTTGAATCACAGAATCATACAGCACAGAAACAGACCCCTCGGTCCAACCAGTCCACACTGACCATGTTCCCAAACTAAACTATTGTCCCACCTGCCTGCACTTGGCCCATTTCCTTCCAAACCTTTCCTATTCACGTACTTATCCAAATGTCTTTTAAATGTTGTAACTGTACCCACCACTTTCTCTGGAACTTCATTCCACACACAAACCACTCTCTGTGTAAAAAATATTACCCCTCATGTCCTTTTTAAATCTTTCTCCTCTCCCCTTAAAAATATGTCTCCTAGGTTTGAACTCACACATCCTAGAGAAAAGACCCTTGTCATTCACCTTATCTATGCCTCTCGTGATTTTCTTTATCTCAATAAGGTCACCCCTCAACCTCTGATGCTCCAGTGAAAAATGTCCCAGTCTTTCCAGTCTATTTTTATATCTCAAACCCTCCATTCTCGGCAACATCCTGATAAATCTCTTCTCAACCTTCCACAGTTTAATAGTATCCTTCCTGTAACTGGGTGACCAGAACTGGACACAGTACTCTAGAAGAAGACTCACCAATGTCCAGTACAACCTCAACATGACATCCCCAATTCCTATACTCAAAGGCCTGTGTGCTAAATGTCTTATTAACTGCCCTGTCTACCTGTGACACAAATTTCAAAGAATTATGTATCTGAACCACTAAGTCTCTCTGCTCTAAAACACTACTCAGGTCCCTACCATTAATTTTATAAGTCCTGTCCTTGTTTGTATTACCTTAATGCAATAACTCATTTTCATCCAAATTGAACTCCGTCTGTCATTCCTCAGCCCATTGACCCAATTGACCAAGATTTCTTTGTAATCTCTGATGATTTGCCTCACTGTCCACTATACCAGAATCTGTTTGCAAGTTGATTTGTATGCAAGTGGGAACATGATACAGGACAATTTAGAAGACCCATTTGTAAGTATAAGAAAATGTTTGTATATTGGATCTTTAAAATTACAACCCCTGTATGGGATTGCATTCATAAGTTTGGAGGTTCATAAATTGGACATTCATGAGTCAGGGACTCCCTGTAGTGTTCTTGATCAGTATCCATAGAAACTGCTACGGACTAGGCTGCTTTTACTTTAACTTTTATTAACATCCTTCTAATTATTTACAGAATAAGGGTTAACATGAGGTTTAACACAGAACTATCTCTCTCCAAAGTTTTTTCTAATGTGATCTCTCATGTTATTGACATAATTAACAATACAGTGACATACAATACATACAGTGACATTTTCAAACTACTTCCTGATGTAGTGGTCATCTGTGAGCGACAATGAATTCGCCTCCAGTGGAAGTCCATCTGAAGTACAAAGATTACGGTTACTTTTGTGATATTTTGCTGTATTTTTTTTCTCAAGAACTTAAGAACAAAGGAACATTAGGAATAGGCCATTCAGCCCATTGGGCAGACTCTGCTATTCATTTAGATCATGGCTGCTCCATTACTCTGGGATTTGCTCTGCTGTTTGTTCTTCATGTTCCTTTGGGAATATTCACATCAGTGTGTCATGTTATTGAAGTAAAAGAGACTACACAAGGGACAATGGGTGCCTGAGATGTTGTGATACTTTTACCTTCCTCTTCTTATATGGCTTTTTTGTAAAATCCTATTTAATTCTCACGCCAGAGATACGCCAATATCTTGTAACCTAACACTCACTGAAGGATAAACAGATATAGGTCTTTCTCCTCTACAAATCTCTTCACTTCAACAAATCTCCAACAAATCCTTCATAAATCTCAGGTCTTTGACCAAGCATTTGATCTCTCCTCCTAATTTCCTTTCCTGCCAGTTTTCCTTGTGGCTTTGTGGAGTAGACCGGAACATTTTTCTGCCTCCAAGTGGCTATAGAATGGGAATTGGGGCAGGAAGAAAGGTAAGTCCGTTAATCCTAATAGGATACCTCCTGCCAAGTTTCCTCTGCCCAGGCATTGGCATATTCACCTGGCAACAGGCTGCGGATTAAGAATCTGCACTAGTCGAGATGTTCCGCATTGTATAAGGAGTCCAGGGCCCACTAGGCAGGGACCACCTCTGCCTCATTAAGCCTATCGCAGGGACCACCTCTGCCTCACTAAGCCTATCGCAGGGACCACCTCTGCCACACTAACCCTATCGCAGGGACCACCTCTGCCTCACTAAGCCTATCGCAGGGCCCACATCTGCCACACTAACCCGATCGCAGGGACCACCTCTGCCACACTAAGCGTATCACAGGCACCACCTCTGCCTCACTAAGCCAGCTAGACCATCAAGATCCCTACTTTGAAATCGGATGGTAACAATAAAAGTCCCTCATAGTGACAATAGGACAGAGAGTTCATACATGCACAATGACAGTGGTACAAATTACTTGTATAGTTTTCTTTTTACTTCCTTATCCAAGTCATGAAGAAACTTTACGTTTATACCGCACTTATCACGTACTCAGGATCTTCCAAAGCACTTTTGCGAAGATTACAGGTATATAAAGCATTGAAAGGAGCTATTTGGTCCAACCATTTCTTACTGCCATTTACATTCAAACCTCTCCCCATCTTCCCTCATCTAGATGTGCCATTACACTCGTTTCCTACATGTGCCTTGCTTTCTTTTAAATACATCAGTACTCTTCACCTTGATAGCATCTTTCATGTTCTCGCCAATCTCTGAGCAACGAATGAATTTCTTTTGGGTTTCTTGCTGATTATCTTGCATTGATGAAGACCAGAAGAAACTTTCTCTCTGTCTCCAGTCCAACAAAACCTTTAACAATTTGATGCATCCTTATTAGTTCACCAATCTTTTTTTTCTAGAGAATTCACAGCCAATTGCAGTTTGTAGATGTATTTACTGTTGTACTTTGGAAGAGCTTGCAGTATGTTTACACTCATGAGGTCCCCACATAATGTAATGTGATCATTACCGCAGAGTCTGTTCCTGGGGTGTTGTTGTTGAGAGGTGAGGTCATGGGATCTTTTACACCCATATGGTAGGACATACATTGTGTGTCTCATCCAGAATCCTGCTGTATCACTGAACCACAGAGCTGTTATGGTGCAGAAGAAGGCCATTCAGTCCATCACACTTATACTAACTCTTCAAAGGAGCATATTACTGAGAACCAATCACCTGCTTTTCCCCGTATAACCATCCAATGCCCTTGTAGAATGCCTTGATTGAGCCTCCACCATATTTCCAGCAGTGCATTCCGTCCTCTAACTACTTGCTGTATGAGTGTTTATTTTTGGATCATCCTTGCATCTTTTGCACTTCATTTCAAATCCAGGCTCTTTCATTTTTGTTCCTTTTAAGAACAGGAGCAGCTCCTCCTTATCTACTTCACCACTCCTGATTTTGAAAACCTCTATCAGATCTCCTCTCAGCCTTCTTGTTTCCAAAAGGAACGGTCTCAACTGCTTCAAACTTTCCTCATAACTGAGGTTTCTCACTCCTAGAACCATTCTTGTAAATCTCCTCTGCACCTTCTCCAATGCATTTACATCTTTCCTGTAATGCAGAACCCACAACTGTCCACAACACTCCAGCTGATGTCTAACAAGTAACTTGTGCAAGATCAACATCACTGACTTGCTTTTGTACTCTAAGCTCCTATTAAAAAAGTCAGAAATCACATAACACCAAGTTGTAGTCCAATAGGTTTATTTGAAAACACAAGCTTTGAAAACTCAAGCTTTCAAATAAACCTGTTGGACTATAACCTGATGTCGTGTGATTTCTGACCTTGTCCACCCCAGTCCAATGCTGGCAACTCCACATCATTCCTATTAATAAAGCTGAGAAAACTGAGTGCTTTATTGACTGCTTTCTCTGTCTTGCCACCATCAATAATTGGTGCATGTATACACACAGGTCCCTTTGCTCTTGCAACCCCTTTAAAATTGCACCCACAATTTTCAATGTTCTTCCTACAAAAGTGCATCACCTCACACTCCTCTGCATTGAACTTTAACTATCACCTGTCCATCTACTCCACCAACTTGTCAAGGTCTGTGCTGTGCTGGAATATCAGCCTCGATTATGTGCTCAAGGCTGTCACCTGGGGCTTAAGCCCATTGTCTGAATCAGAAGTGAGAGTGTTACTGTCTTAGGAAAGCTGATATTCGCTTGACTGTCCTTCTGTGCTGTTGTCATCAAGCAGTGCCACGTTTAATTACTTTCAAACTGCCACATGTTATATTTTATATGTAAACTGCGGCAAGTGCCAATGTCAATACCAGTGTATTTTCACTTTGGGGCTGTGCTTGGCCTCCTTCTTTGATTAAGGTGACCCGTGAATCCTCAGCACATTTTCACTGCTTGCATTCTTTCCCTGCTTGGAATAGTTCATGGAAGACGCAATGAGAATTGTCTCGCCATTGAGAAGAGACCATTTGTTTGTCTTGGTTTGCAGTATTGTTGGTGGGTGGTCGGATTTCGGGCTGAGAGATCATTGTATGTTTCTCCAGACATGCTTTGACTTTCATCTTGC